ATTTAAACCCCCTACTCATCATCCTCACAGCAGTCAACCCTCTCAGTTGGTCTTCTTTGCCACCTTCTTGATCTACAAGTTGCAATCTCATAAAAAAATTTATTTATCTTTTGCAACAACTTCCGTGTCAGACTTCTTTTCTCAGGTTTTTTTTTTAACTTTAGTAGGCCATCGCCACGTGATTTATATGTGGTTCAAATATCCAATACTTGGGCCCCAAGTTCTACTAATTATTAAAGAATTCTACATTGAATTTATTCATCCATCTAACATTATAAAAATTCAGGTCCTCATGATATACCAATAAGCTGTTGCATCAGCATTCATAAGTGTAAAATTCATCTCGAAGCTTAGCTATATATAGCACGTTTTGCATTCTTGTGCTTACAATTCACTCTCTTATCCAGTTCCTGTAATGGCTCAAGCCCACTTTGTGTTGTTCCCTTTCATGGCTCAAGGCCACTTGCTCCCCATGCTAGATATCGGTCGTCTATTAGCACAACGAGGAGTGATTGTCACTATGGTAACAACACCCCATAATGCAGGCAGAATCCAGAAATCGATCGGTCGAGCCATCGAATCGGGGCTTCCTATCCGTTTACTGCAACTCCAGTTTCCCGGAAAAGAAGTTGGATTGCCGGATGGGGTCGAGAACATTGATATGCTGCATTCGATGGAGGACTTGATCAAATTCGTATCCGCCGCCAACCTGATGGAAGATGCAGGGCAGAAATTGTTTGAGAATATTACACCCCGTCCCGCTTGTATCGTTTCGGACATAAACCTGTATTACACCCGCAAAATTGCTACCAAGTTTCGAGTTCCGAGGTTGTCGTTCCATGGATTTTGTTGCTTCTGTCTTCTTTGTTTGCACAATATACAGTCCTCCAAGATATGTGACACCCTGACCTCTAATCATGAGTACTTCGTGGTGCCCGGCTTGACCAACAAGGTCGAATTTACGAGAGTTCAGTTACCGCTCGACCATGACGGATCAGGGAAGGGAATTTTCGAACCGATGTGGGAAGCTGATCGAGCATCCTACGGGGTCATCATAAACACTTTCGAAGAGCTCGAATCGGGTTACGTTGAAGAGTACAAGCAGGTGAAGAAAGCTTGGTGTATCGGTCCGGTTTCACTCAGCAACAGGAACGAGTTGGACAAGGCTGAGAGAGGTAACAAGGCGTCGATCAACGAGCAGCAGTGTTTGAAGTGGCTTGACTCTCAAGAAACCAACTCTGTTATCTATGCGTGCCTTGGAAGCACAGGCACTCTAAAGAGTCCAGAGCTGATAGAGTTGGGTTTAGGCTTAGAGGCATCGAAAAAGCCTTTCATTTGGGTGCTTAGAGGAAACAACATGACACCGAACCAAGTCGAGAAGTGGATGGAGGACGATGGATTCGAGGAAAGAACGAAAGGAAGAGGCCTTGTAGTTAAGGGATGGGCACCCCAAGTGCTCATTTTGTCACACCCTGCAACCGGAGCGTTCCTAACTCATTGTGGATGGAACTCGACGATCGAGGGCATTTCTGTCGGTGTCCCGTTGATAACATTGCCGTTTTTCGGAGACCAATTCTGCAACGAGAAACTTGTGGTGCAAATACTGAGAATTGGAGTCAACCTTGGGGCTAACGAACCTACGAAGCTGGGGGATGAAAAATCTGGGTTTTTGCTGAAGAAGGAACATGTTAAAGCTGCAATAGAGAAATTGATGGACGAAGGAGATGAAGGAATGGAAAGAAGACAGAGAGCTAGAGAGTTTGGAGAAAAGGCAAAGAAAGCAGTTGAAGTGGGTGGTTCTTCCTACCGTAATATTACATCATTAATCCATGATGTCATGCAACAATCTCAGAAAATGTGTTGAATTGGGTTTTGTTTTTCCTTTTTCTTTTGATGTTTGGAAATTTTGAGTGAATCTGATGTCGTTTAAGCTATGCAAATTTTCTGAGTGAATCCAACAATCTCATGATTTGAGGTAAGAATTGGAGGTGGTTCTATCAATATGTATTTGACAATGTAAACCAATTGTTACATGGATATGGCTTGCTTGCCCCCCCACTTCCCACTTGTGCTTTGAAAACATGCTTTTATCATTATGTTTTTTCTTTGCATTTTTATTGATAATATGTATTTATTCTCTTAAAATTTTATAAATTTATCTATCTTTAAATTTTATAAATTCGTCTCTCGATATAAAATTTTGTATTTATCTCTATATGAATAGATCAATATCTTTGTGACATAATTGAAGGTGACATAATCGATTGCTCTATTAAGCTCCAAGGTTCGTGCTTTCTAAATTCCTAAAGTTGAAGGTGACATAGTCGATTTGTCCAACTTGGAATGCAATCTGTAAGTTTCTTTTTAAAATTTTACTAAGGTGATTTACAAAGTAGTACTTGCTTTAAATATTCTCAATAATTTGACAATAAACGTTCAATCATCCGGCTGCAATTGCTAGTGCTCAAACTCTGGACCCTTAGAAGTAACAATCATCTCTTTAATCATGGACATAATTTGGTTCGTGCGGATAAATTTATAAATGAAAAAAACTTAAAGAGCTTACATCCATGTTGGACTTTATCAATTTATTCTTTTAAATAACATGTGAAATTTCACGTGTAAATATTTCGATATCGATTTTGTCACAAAAGATTATTAATCACAAGTGATGATTAATTGTCGATGAAGGGGGAAAATATCGTGCCAAAAAAGTAAACTTTTTAAATGTTAAGTGACAAAATATAAACATCCCTAAAGTTTAATGTATAAAATGATGTCGTTTTAAGCATCAAAATGATCGCACTAAAACAATGTTGTTTTGGTGTGAAATGTCACGTCAATAACAACTAATTCTGTTTTCGATTTATTGGAGGCGTAATAGCGAATAACATAATTAAATGTAAAATTAAAATATAATGTTATAGTTGACCAAACTAAAAGTCTAATTTTATAGACGAATCAACGAACAAAATAGTGATATTTGAAAGAATTCTCTCTTTATTTTATTATCGCCATAATCCGAGATCATCATTCATTCAAGTAGATATTTGCAATAACTTCCGTGCCGAACATCTATTTCACTCTTTGTTTGTTTCTTACTTTAGTAGGCCATTGCCATGTGATGCATCATATGCGGTTCACTTGGACCCCAAGTAGTATTAATTATTGAGGTACTCTATTTGATTCTTCCAGGACTTGGTCTCCAAGTAATGTTATCTAATGGGATCATTTGTTTTGGTCCCTAAGAAGAGCTCCGTCGAATCTATTTCACATATAAAATCAAAAATACTTGGGGCCATCCTGAAATGGAATTTACTTTTACACCCCAACAGTTCACATAATTATTTTAATATAGTTTACATAATTTTTGTGTTAAAGATTATTTCATACATATTTATAAATTAAATGATCATTTTTATAATCATTTATAAAGTTTAATATTTACTTTGTAGTCTTAAAGTTTTAATGATCAAATAATTATTTTAATATAGTTTAATACAGATATTGTCAACGGCACTAGCATTTAGCCAATCACTTCAGATGCAGTATTCACCATACATGATTTTTTCTCTTTTGAACATAATATAAGATTTCTATACATTAACATTATCTGACGATATTTGCTTCAGATACGTCGTTGTTAACAAGTGATGCTCATCTACTAGTATTATCATAGTTTGTGTTTGTCCAACGAATAACATCATATTTACTGATGATATATTTTAACTTTTCAAGATTTTTTTTATGCAAGAAGCTGCTAATTTTATTTAAAAAAATCGAAATTACAGTGATAATTTACAAGTTATAGCCATGAGTCCTTTGACAGAATGTCCTCTGTGGTTGTTGAGTTCTCTAAGCTCATTGGTACCCCTGAGCCTAATGTTCAGTGGTATTATTGTCACAAATTTGAAAATGATGTTCATTTCGTGACTTGTCCCATAGTTACATGATCATTTATATAGTTTATCTAAAATTTTATAATATATTTCGATTTTGTGATTTTTGATTGTCTACCTTCAAAAATAGCAAATCTAAAGCAGTACAAATATATAAATTTAAATGTATAAAAAATATTATTAGTTTTAAGATTTTATTTATTTAAATTTGTCTTATAATAAATCCAAATATATAACTTATTTTCTTTTTTTTTATTCGATTTGATTCAGTTCAAAAGATTTCCATATGGAAAAACTAAAACCAAATCGAATTGTATATTTATGTTTTTTTTAAACTAAACCAAAAATTAAAAAAACTAAAACGAAACCGAACCGCATATTCTGATTAGAATAAATTTTTTATTTTCTCGATTTTGTTGCTCCGCCCTACTTCTTCATATTCTTTTTCTATTTATTTTTCTTCTTATTTGTGCATCAAAAGGTGAGAACTTTATTACGCAACATACTTGGCCAAAATTTGTGAAGGTAAAGGCCGTAATCTCCACTCATAGAGCATCAATTCAAGCTCTCTTTATCCGTGGTTGATTATGGTGGCCATGGTATAAATTTTAGAGGGGTTTTGATCTCTTGAGCTCAAATGTACTTATAATATATTTTTAATGATTAGAATTTATTCTCTTACTCCTCCTAAGTCCATAGATGGGTTAATAATTCATTTTTTATTTGTTTGGTTAGTGAAAAAAGAACTAAAGACCTTCAAAAGCAAGAATAATGAGAAGTTTGTTTTTTGAGTGAGCTTGAAAGAATTTCTATTAGTCTTGGAGTGAGATAACACACTTCTAATTCCTCTATAACACAGATAACTCATTGTATGTTAAGTTACTTGCATTAAGACTGTTGAAGGATGTTTGGTGTATTTTGCTTGTGGTTGGCTTGGAATGGATTAAACATTATAAATGCATAAAAATGATGTATTATGACCTCACCTGATTTTCATAGTAAATATCATCATAGGACCTGGTATAGCTATTAGCTATTAGCTACTAAAATTCATAAAGAAGTTTCCCAAAGAATTTCATGTGAGAAGTTTCTAGGCGAGTTACCAGTGATAAGTTCCCGTCATTACTTGGACTTGGTATTATGAAAATGTTGCCTTACTGCACGACATTTGCTGGTCCCATATAAATGGGGCGACCCCATCCGAAATTCGCATCATATATAGGCAACCATATCCATGGATTAACAGCAAGGTTTGGGCATCGGAAAGTATAACCAAAGTGTTTAAATCAGACACTTCTTCAATGTAATCAATGGCTGATCTCAGATACTCATCATTTTGACATTGCTGTACTCATTTTATATCTTTTGAATGTGATGGGATCTGAGTTTTGATATCTTTTATTCAGTCCAATGCGTTTTTCTAATCAGCCCCAGTATTTGTGTACCGAAAACCCAAGTATTGCATTGCTGCTGATTGTCACTTAGGCCTTGGTTTTCTCAATGACTTTAGTTTCAACTTGACCTTGCTACTTCAACAACTGAATGTGGATGCGGGTTAGGAGCCACTGGGTTCTCTTTGGGAGTGTGGGTTTGCTGTGCATTGGTGACTCCGTCAATGATGTTGGAGTGCTATTGTTTGCAAGGAATGCTTGAGGGTATGAGGCAGTGGAGTGCCTCTTATTAAACTATAACTCAATTTTCTTTCTTCGTTTCATGTGTTTCTTCACCTTCTCCTCTCTTTTTTTTTTATGGAATGATGTCATTGTAATCAATCCAGATTTCATTTTTTATGCCAACTAGTCAATTAGGTAAATTTTGGTACAAGTTTGAGTAGGTTTTTCTTTTAATTGAACTTTCTTGTTGCATGTGGTGTGTTTCTTGCAAGTTTTGCATTATCTTGTTGGACTCGAGGCATTTATAAACGCATCAATTCAGTTGCAAGGTGGAAACTTTAATCAAGTAGACTGTAACATTCTCAATTTTCTGAATTTATTCTTTTTGAGTTTAATGACCGGTAAAAATATGACAAAACCGGTAAAGCGCTACCGGATATGTTGAAGGTGTGGATTCTATTCAAATAAGTATCGATACTTATGGAATTTTAAAGAAAAGCAATAATAGCGCCTATAAAGTTTCGATACTTTATAAACATGTATCGATACTTAACAATATAACGAATAAAAATATGACAAAAACGGTTTCATTATGACAAAACCGGTAAATGACTATCGGATATGTTGAAGGTATCGATTCCATTCAAATAAGTATCGATACTTTTGGAATTTAAAAGAAAAGCAATAATAGCGCGTATAAAGTATCGATACTTTATAAACATGTATCGATACGTAACAATATAACAGGTAAAAATATGACAAAACCGGTTTCATTATGACAAAACCGGTAAAGCGCTAATGGATATGTTGAAGGTATCGATTCCATTCAAATAAGTATCCATACTTATGGAATTTTAAAGAAAAGCAATAATAGTGTCTGATGTGATCCAGGCTATGCGCCTTACATCATTTTCTGCAATCTCCCAGAGACCGTTTGATCGAGGCAAGTTGTTTACATTCGAGAAGCTTCAAGAATATTATTTGAGCTTAATATGGGAATTTCAAGCCAAGTTTAGATTTTTGAAAGCCTTTTTCAATCCAAAAGAAGAACCTCCACCATCATATTCAAGGTTGGGACGTGAAGAAGGAACAACCAAGTTTAAGAGAAGATTTTATCTTTTACTTGCATGAATTTTCATGAGTGTTAATAAATTTGCATGACATTAAGTTGAATAAATAAATAATCATGCTACTTCATTTAAGCATGAGTTCATTTAAGAATGCATTGCATTTAAAGCATCTATTTCATTTAATGAAGTTAGTTCATTAATTAAATAGTTCATTCATCAAACTAGTTCATTTATTAAACTAACTCTTAATTGTTTCATGCATGTTTTCAATTAAATATTCAATAAAGTTCACCTTTGTGTCTAGGTGCATGAGAGAAGTTGAACGGTTTCAATAGATGCCAGAATATCAGTCAGAATGTATTCTAATTCTGGATGTGATACAGGTGTTTTTGGGTCCATAAATCAATTGGAAATTATTCATCTATCTTTTAGCTTTCCAACGCCTTTTGAATCATCTCAATCCAATATCGGGAGCTTGAGATATGATCGATTTACTGAAGACAGTGTAGGCTAGAATTTTCATTACAGGAATTTTATACAAGGATGATTTGGATGAGTTTGAGCCAAGGAAGAGTCCTTTCATATTCTACCAAGAGGCAAGCCATTTAAGGTCATCTTAATTCACTAATTCAAGGCATTCAAGGTTGATATTATCACCCATTGAAGGCCATTTATGTTCAAGCAAGGGGACATTCAAATAATCATCATTCAAAATTTAGTATTCAAGGCCTTTATCATCTTTTGAAGGCTGATCATATTCTTCAAGGGAAAAGGCAATGAAGGATGATATTATTTCATTTAACCACCAAATTAAGTGATAAAACAAGCCAGGAATTTGAAGAGACAAGCTGATTTGGACATGTAGGATGTCCACATTCATCCTATGACTTCATTTAACCTCTTTTCTTCCATTTGCAAGCAAACCAAGGCAGCCCAAGAGTCTTCCACCCCTTGGACGAAAGTAAGACCAAATTCAGCTTCAAATTGTCTAGATTCATCCCCAAAATGATCTAGAATATTCATCCAACTTTGAACATAAGAAGAAAAAGCATTCAAGTGCATTTTATTGCTAAATTGATGAGAATGTTATCATCTTTTGAGTCTTTTCATATGCTTCTTAGAAATACTATAAATAGGCACCTTTGGGATCATCTGTAGACACACAATTTGATTTATGAAAATACTTTGAAAGATTGCTTTCATTTTAGTTCTTGGATTAGAACTCTATCGGTTTCTTGTCGGTCTTGAAGCCTTCATCCATTTCATCTTGTTATAGCGTTGGTTCCTAGGGACATGTTCCACCCTCTATCACTTCGATTCCATCTTTATTATATTGTTGGTTCCTAACTCATATATAGTTAGAGGGTCACAATCCATCCTTTGAATTACTATCATTCTCCACTCCAACCATAAACATCCTTCACCATTTTCATTACATCCATTCAAACACTATCACCACCACACTTCTTTCATTTACAATCCACTTCAACTTCATTCTATCATTTCCATTATTTTCATACACATATTTATATATACATATTTCCCTTCTTATAACATTGTTTGTACATTTTCAGTTTCAATCAAAGCACTGTGAAGTTCTTACTAGAATCACGATCGGACAATAATACATATGACTCGAAACATATATATGTGATCATATCAGTGCCTATAAAGTATCGATACTTTATAAACGTGTATCGATACGTAACAATATAACAGATAAAAATATGACAAAACCGATTTCATTATGACAAAACCGATTTCATTATGACAAATCGCTATCGGATATGTTGAAGGTATCGATTCCATTCAAATAAGTATCAATACTTTTGGAATTTAAAAGAAAAGTAATAATAAAGCGTATAAAGTATCGATACTTTATAAACATGTATCGATACGTAACAATATAACAGGTAAAAATATGACAAAACCGGTTTCATTATGACAAAATCGGTAAAGCACTACCGGATATATTAAAGGTATTGATACTTTAATAAGTATAAGTAAAAAATTATCGATTCTTTTAAAAGAAAAAAATGAAAACCTATCGAAAGTATCGACACTTGACATAAAAGTATCAAGACTTGGTAATTGTATCGATTAAATATAAATAACATATCCGGTTAAAATATCAAAGGCATAGCTAAATTTCCTCTGAAAATAGATAGAACACAGCCGTAGTTTTCGAAATCGAAGCGTAATTGTTGCTGCATTTCATAAGGCTTTTTAAAGCGAAGTTTGTTTGTTTGTTGTTGCAGTCGAATCGAAAAGTACGTTGTCAAAACCCTAGTTTTTTATTATTACATTAATTGAAAATAGGGGTTTTATGTGTTTAGGGTTTTCAAAGTAAAGAAGCATTTGAGATCGATTACTGGTATAAAGTGATATTCTAGGTAGATGATAAATATTGATACTTTTATATAATATTATAGGTAGAAAATGATATTGTAGGTTGTATAAATGTATCGATACTTGTAGTATTGAGTATTCCCATTCGTTTGAAGGAAATATGGATTAGGGTTTTTGGTTTTAGTTTGGGGATTTCGAAGCCAATAAGGATTTGGGACCGATTATATAATATTATAGGTAGAAAATAAATATTGATACCTGTATATAATATTATAGGTAGAAAATGATATTGTAAGTTGTATAAATGTACTGATACTTGTAGTAGTGGTCATTCAAATTCTTTTGAAAGAAATTGTTTTACTACAAGAGTAGTTATCGATATTTGTATATTGAATAAAATATATGTAGCCAGTATTTGATTTTGATTTGCGTAAACTGATATATGAAGGAAAAATGAAGTCAACGGATCTTGCAATTATTGTTGGCGAAGATGACTTTGAAATTGAGTCCGAGAGTCGAAAGCAACCAAAGGGTGGATATATGTACTTCTAGTAAGTATCAGTTTATTTTTGTTATTATTGTTGAAATGGTAATTGGATTAAAGCATTTAAGAACTTTAAATTGATTACAAATTTTAAATGTTGACAATATGACCGAATGCCAAAGGATGAAGGAAACTGGCAATCACATCGGTTCGGTATGTAAAATGAAATTGACATTGAGTATTATTTAGCGTTAATGTATTGATTAAGAAACTTTTATGCTTAATTTTAGGTGAAAAATGATGTGTTGGAGAAATGGAAGTCGATAACTGATACTGAGAAAGAACCTTACTTGACACAATCAAAGATGGATAGACAAGAATACAAAGCTTGGAGGAAAGCACATGAAAAGAATGTATTCATTAAACTTGTAAATAATTTGATAAAGATATATAAGAACAATAACATTATATATTTTTTTTTAAATGTAGGAAGTGTCGACAAGGTGCAGCATAAAAAGAGTGAACTCATTAATTGAACACCTTAAGGAGAATGATCAATTGAATGTGCTGGAAGAAATGGGGTTTGGATCTTTGAT